TAAAAGTTGTAGGAGATTTAAACTTTGTTTCTTTCATAATTCCTTTAAAAACACTCCCAGGTCTTTCCAGAGGAACCATTTTCAAGCCAATCAGAAAAAGAGTACTCGCCCTCCCACTGAACATGTTGTGTTCTACATCAGCATGCCTTCGTTTTCTGAAAAATAAGAAAAAGAAAGAAATAGCTGATTAATATTTTCGCAACCTGGTGTTCCACTGCGTCGAGGAGCACTTAATAAATGTAACATGGGTGAATTCTTTTGTCAGTCTCGGTTGTCATGTTTAATTGATATACAATTTGCTCTTCCAAAAAGGTTTTGCGATTTTACGTTTTTTCAAAGCATTATGTTGTATATGCATTTCTATAGATATCTTTCAAACCTCGTGTTCGCCAAACGAGTTACTTTCTAAGTATTTTATCTGGTTAATGCATACTTTCATTTTTTCTTTCTTTTCTTCCCTTTAAGCTTCAAGAAGCCCTTGAAGAATCTGAAAAGAATGCAAGGTGAGCTCCATATACTTCCACGAGTAATGCAACGTTAAATTTTATCCCATCGGTTGTATGAAACGTAACTGAACTCCATGGCTCGTGGTAATTTTTATGGATCTTTGGTAAATGTCTGTGTCCTTAGAATTTCCGTATTGTTCAACTCCAAACAAATTGTTGCCCTTTTTTCACTGTAAGTTCACGTCTGTAAGGGTGGAACAAAGATTGCTCTTAACAGAAACGGCTGCATTTCTGTCAACTGAATCGAACTGAGAAACAGATGGGAAGAAACCACACAAGCCCGGCCATCAAGAGCACAAACATTCAGAGTATTTTGTGTTATTTTCACTCGTCCGCACAAATTCACAAATGATGAGGGACAAACAATATCTAGATGGTATGGGGACAATTTCCTGAAGGGAAACTATGACAAGTACAATGCAATGTTGATAAATAGAGGGAAAAACAGCGACCATTTCATAAATGTAAACATTGATGGATATACCATCAAGTCTACCCCAGCCCTCAAATTGCTCGGGGTTACATTGGATGATAAGCTTAAATTCAGTAAACATGTAAGTGATATATGTAAACAGGCAAG